CAGTCGAACAAAATATGTGGAACAGATTCTGAGGCGTTGCATCCCTGAGGCAGACACCATCGCCGTGTCCTGTCCGAGAGGCACGTTCATTCGTGTACAGGCCATGGTGAAAAACAAGCCACATGAATATCTGATCCCAATTAACATTCACTTTTTCTTCCATCCCTAGAAGCTCTGCTGAGTGTAGCGTTCTTGTCCGTTGGGTCTCCACCATCCTGAAGCTCTTTCTGAAGTACCTGGTTTAGACTCTAAACCCAACACTTTAGATCTTAAGTCATCGCTTGGTTCTATGTATCATTTCAATCTGTTTTTGAACACTCCTGACTTTACGATAAGGATCCAAATCTTAGCTTGCCTTTTGCCCTTACTGTTAATTCCCAAGAATCGTGGCTCAGAAATACATTTCATCAATGTACAGTACATCTGAACCCCTTTTTCCCTAGCCATAACAGAAAGGTGATTCTTAATGTCACATCCACATCTCAAAATCAGCTAAATATTTATTCACCGGGAAACTTTCTCGCTGATTCAAATTAAAATAATTCTATGCTTTTCTTTGCCCGTATAAGGATACAGATTACAGCAGTAGGTACTCTAGTAAGTGTAAGTGGAAGGTCGTGCAAAGGTCTACTCTCTATCTCCTCAACCCAATCTGATGTCAAGAAACATTCCCCTGTTTGTTTGCTTATTACTTTCCACAGTCTTCAAATGTGCATGCAAGGATGTGAATTCAACGTCTCTATCTTAGCTACAATCAGAAAACTCATGAGGCCCATGCAGCTCTAACATGGATTCATGTCCTTCGCGTTGTTTACAACATTCTGTCACGCTGGTATGACATAGTGACGTTTGGCAATTCGGACATCTCGGACTGGCAGATTCTCCGCCGCAAAACCGTAATTCACGTAAGCTGACGAGTATTCTTGTCAACACTGTCCGGGAGTGCACTTACTACGGGTCTCAATTTTGCACATCGGAGAATGCAGGAAATTTATGGAGTTTCCAGGACCTTTCTGTCCACCGTCATAGCTCGGTCATTCCTTCATACGGAGTCAACGGTTGGTCAGTGAACGTCTCGATGAGGAAATCTTCGGCGCGATCAGCGGCGAAGATCCAGCCTTTGATGGTCAAAGTAGGCTTCCCTTTCCAACATAAACTTGAGAAAGTTATCACTGCCCTACAGCGTCACATGGAGAGTCATCACGAGCTGTGCCTGGATTTTCTTCAGTGGTTCTATAGAGGTGCGACAGATGAACTTGCACATGGTTTTAAAGATTACTTGTATGACTCTGAATAGCCTTGCCTCGCAGTGGAATCGATTTGAAGTGTTCCACGCGTCACACTGCGAAGCTCTACTTTGAGAAGAAGCCTGACTTCTGATCCATATTCTATAGCTCGTCCTTGCCTTGGTGTTATTGCTACTTTGGGCCTCGTAGGTAGGCCTCGGCAAGGTAACGTAAAAGTTAAACGGGTAGTTTAGGGTACTCTACCTTCACCTTGTTGTTCGCGACTTACCTCTACTTTATCCTTTAATCGGGTAATTACCCGGTCAAAATAAAAAATACCCTTTACCCTCAGTTTACCGGGTAATTACACTGTCAAAATACACTTTACACTTAGTTTACCATTTAACCGGGTAATTACCCATTCAAAATAAAAAATACATTTTACCTTTAATTTACCATTAACCTGGGTAATTACCATTTAACCAGGTAATTACTCTTTACAAAGGGAACTGGTGTACGCTATTGACCTTTAACATATTCGAGGTGCTCAAAAATGGACTCGTTTGAGTGCAGCTCCAAGAGTTCTTCTTCTCACTCAGTTACTTCTTTCCCGTTTGAGTGAAGCTACAAGAATTCTTACTCTCTTGTGTACTTCCTTCTCTCCCGTTTGAGTGCAACTCCAAGAATTCTTCCTCTCTTGAGTACTTCCTTCTCTCCCGTTTGAGTGATGCTCTAAGAATTCTTCCTCTCTTGTGTACTTCCTTCTCTCCCGTTTGAGTGCAGCTCCAAGGATTCTTCCTCTCTTGTGTACTTCCTTCTCTCCCGTTTGAGTGCAGCTCCAAGAATTCCTTCTCTCCCGTTTGAATGCAGCTCTAAGAATTCTTCCTCTCTCATGTACTTCTTTCTCTCCCGTGAATCAGGACTTGTGGAAGAATGATGAGAACAGTTGGATGTGCTCGATATATATGCAAAAAATAATTTAATGAAGTACCTTCTCACCACATAGATTTAACTACAACTGTTCACCACACAGATTTAACGGTAACTTCTCATCACATGTGCACGAAAAATTGCCACGTTAAAGGGTAAACACACTTACCTTACCTTTACATTACCTTTAAGTAATTACCCGAGTAATTACTCGGGTAATGGGTAAATTCGTCTGGATTACCTTTACTCTACCCTCTACCTTACCAATTCTGTATCTTCCTACCTTTAACGTTACCTTGCAGAGGTCTACTCGTAGGCCCCAATGTTCTGTTGCGCTGGATGGTGTCATGTTACATATTTTTTTCTTGTGTCTTCCATCTCCCCTGCAATTTGAAACTAGCTGTTCGTGTTTCTAATATGATGGTTGACCACGAGTTCACAGTGCTCTTGTGAGTTCAGGGCAGTCATGCTTCATCCTCGATACAGAGACGAGAACAACAACAGTGATAGGATGCTTTCGGGAAATCATGCAGGAGAGCCATATGCATGACAAACAATGTCTCATTCTAGAAATTCGACTCAGATTGCCAGTCCCTTTTAACTCCTCCACTCCTGGCGCAGCAGTTTGTAGAGAGGACCCTGCAGCTGTCTAGATTGGTTCTTTACCGTTCCCCATTTGTGCTGAATCGTCTCGACTTCATTCTCTACTCCGGGAGATCAGCTTTTCTCCTCACTAGGTTTTGTAGTGGCTAAACGGTAGTATCGAAGATGCATCGTGCCCCGTTATCCTCAAACTGTGACCATCCTTAAACGCAAAAACTCGTTCAAGCGAACAGATCCATCAAATCATGAAAGGCAGCTAAAATCTTAACTTTTTTTTTTTCGTAAGCGATCTCTGAGCTTAAGTGGTTGTTCTCCCTCTCTCAAGTAAAAGGTCCAATTTACTTGAGAAACTCTTGCCACAATTCGAAGGGAGGCTAAGGTGAAGGCAAACCAAGAACTAACACATCTAACAGATCGGCGACACTTTCGGACAAAGACATTGAAGACCCTTGCACGGAATATACTTCTCACTTGTTTGAAGAGAGCGGAATCGTTGAATTCCCTATCAATCGAACATTAAATCTGACACGGAGGACAGAGCATCCACGCTCCATATCGAGAGATGAAACCCAATCAACACCTAGCAATATCTGAGTCACCTAAAACGATGACTCGGAATAATATATTAAGAATTTGGATACAATTTCGAGGGCTAACGAGAAGAATGACCCGACTTATTGTGGAAGTCTTTTCTTGGGGATGGTGGATCTAAGTATATAGCTAAGGCCAGAGCCATGCAACCTACATGGGCTCAGAAGTCAGATTCTTGCCAGAGGACTCGCAAGGTACTTCTTAAAAAGTTAGGAGCTTCGTTTCTGCGCATGTCAGACTCAGATCGTGGTTCTATTTCATAGTCACACCATAGTCAGGCCATGGACTGCAAGTAGACGAAATTTTGTTCTATTTCTCGAACTGGGTACATAATCAGGCCGTGGACTGCAGGTAGAGGAAAGTTGTTTGAGAAGGCCGTGACTTCTCAAACTTCTCTCGATTACACTCAAAGAGTGTAATCGAGAGAAGAGGGATCCAAAATTGCCAACGTGGACCGCTGCAATCTCTGCCTGGGCAATGGCCATGCGGAGCTCGTATGCACCCTGGCTTGCATCGAAACTCGAAAGGTTGAACTTGATCTGCCACGTTGCTGCCGCCCAGTTACCATCTGATGCATGCCTGTCAAGATGCAGCATGATATCATCCCAAGCTTTTCGATTAGCTCTTGGTGCAGGTTTTCTCAGATGAATGTAGGGTATCAGAAAACGTACGAGCAGGTATGCATTCCATGATTCCAGATGCTGGTTTAAAAGCGAATCAAACTTACTGTGGAAACGGTATCGCCAAGGAAGAATATGCTTACTCAAACTTAACCATGGAACCAAAATATTCCCCACCTGCATAGATGAGCAAGGAACCAATCTTGGGTGTAATCACTTGTTCCTACAGTGTAGATCAAATCGTGAGACGGATATAGATCGGTGTATATTTGCCAGAGTCCATAGTTGCGCCATCTACACAGATGACAGAGAGCTCGTAAGCTTCAGTTTCTCCATCTTGGAAGGGAGCCTCGAGTGAATTGACAGGCAAGTGCATCAGAAGCAACAAAGCGGCCGAATGGAATTCGAAACTCGAAATCAGAAACTATGCTTTTAGATTTTTTCAACGATTCTTTCCCCATCTTAGAATTCTCTACCTTTCCTTGGTGGACTAGACCAATAGCTTTTCTCAGAAAAGAAAAGAAATCACTCTTCGACGCTGCCCGTAGAGAAAATTTGGATATGTTGGATCTGGATTGGGGATATAAAACTCTGTGGCGGTTCGACTGGGAGTTCCAATTTCTGAAGAACTGTCTGTCTAATTTAAAATTTTTTATATATTTTAAAGTAGCTTGTCCAATGAATAGATTAGGCTGCTTGTTCTGATTCGAAGAACTTAATTTTCTTTTATTTTCATCATCCTAAATTATCAGATAATTTCAAATATGTCTTACATATTTGAACAATTTTCGTCATTTCGCAGAGCGCTTTCATTTCCATTTATAACTTAGAATAAAACAGAATTTTATTAAATTGAGGTCTAGTTTACAAGAATCTTGCAACATAAAATATAAAGCTCAATATGAGAATAAAAACAAGTAACAAAAGACATATGTGTTATGATTTTGGACAAAAACACTAATATATTTCTGAAATAAAATTTCGAGAACATCGAGAATACATTGAGCTTTTAGTAGATTTTTTCTAATTTGAGTAAGATATTTAAAATTAACAACTCATGTTATGGTAGAAGTAGTTGAATCACTATCGATGTGCTTTCTGTACGTAATTATGTACGACAATGATGTAACAGGAAAAAAATTAAAATTGAAATTCTAGAATATACTTCAGTTTTTCAGAATTTCTTTCTTGTACAAAGAGTAGTAGAATGTATACAAACTGTCCCTGGTGTCTGCAAATCGCTTTACTGGTGTCATAGCAGGGGAGGCAAGCAGAACCTATCTGACCAGGTGCTCGCTCGCCTTTTGTAATATGGAAAATGATGAACACCCTTGAATCTTAGTAAGAACTTGCCAATGCAGCAAGTCCCTTATTTCAGCAGAAAGCTTTCATGTCGATTTCTCATGAATTTACCTTCCGTTGGAAGCGAATTGTTGGCAGACATGGAAATCTGTCGATTCTCCTTGTATAGCCTTCCAATTCCTGATTCCTATGACACGGAGACTTCGAAAACATTCTAAACTTTCTCTGAGCTCTATCAGCTTCTAACTATATACAAAGCGTACGGCTGGCTAGCTTTATTGCATAGATGAAATACTGTTTCCAACTGATTCGAAATCTATTGCGACACATATCAGAAGCTCATTACCTTGCTGGTCAATTAGACAGATGTCTGTCCGATAAGAACTTACAAATTATGCCACTCCAGGAGCACAAATCCTAAACCTTCGGCAGTTCTCTACGCCACCTATTGCCTAAATCGATCGAACAGAACATCCATAGAATTCGGCCACGATTGGCACTCTCAAAACTCTCGATTTCATGTGCACATCCAAATTAACGAGATCACTGGACGAGATCCAGCTGCCAAGAGCTGAATTAGGTTCTAGAAGCTTCGATCGAGCCTTCTGCAGCTGGATCGGGGCACTTCAGAATCCTCCACCTCCACCACCTCCACCACCACCTCCTCCTCCTCCTCCACATCCTCCACCTCCACCACCAAATCCACCTCCTCCACCACCGTCACCACCTCCGCCTCCACCGTCCCCACCTCCGCCTCCACCTCCACCGTCACCACCTCCGTCACCACCACCACCTCCTCCCCCATCGACTCCTCCACCGTGCCTACGACGTCGACCACCACCATGTCTTACCTTCTTCTTACTCCCGCACAGCATCGACACGAAGGGCACAAGAATCATGATGAATATGAAAGCTGCCATCTTGCCGGAGGAGTAGTCTAGTTTCAATCCCGATAGATATAACTGCGCAGCTGAGGACTACTACTGCTTCTCGAAGGACTGGCCGCTCGGTGCTTTTATCAAGCTTCTCATGAACCGTGGAACATATTTTGTGTTTCTTGCTCGCCTGGTGCAGATGTTAAGGATCCGGAATCTTGAAATAGAGAAATCTGCAAATTGAATTGGGATTCCCGTATCGATTTAAGCTAAGCGTTCCAAGTGTCAGAGTCTGGTTCCAGGATACCAAATAGAGCGAGCAGTGAGACTTTATGCGGCAGTGGAGTCCGTGAATTTGAGACCTGCACCAGTTCCGATCCCAGGTCTGCTTTGACCTTCGAGGTCCTTATCACTTTCTCGGAAGTGGAGAGGAAGCATTCGCTGCACTAACGTCGTCTTTCAGATCGATCCAAGCGTGTTGGCTCTGGAATTCAGCACAAAATCCGCTGTGGATTGCTTGTCCTTGACATTGAGAGACCACAGCGTCTTCCATGACTGGATTGTCTAGTCTCAAACGGCATGTGCTTTTCCGTGACATTGATGGGCCCGCCCATGGATATTATTTTTCTTCTTCTCCCTGCGTCTAAGAAGCGCTGCAGATATTGACTACTGCTGCTTCCTAGGTACTATATGCTTTCTAGATGAGGAAAGTAAATCCAGGTCTTTGACACCTGGATGCACTTCCTCTCTTGGAAGATTCTTCCACGAAACTTGGTCATGCCCCTCATAACAATCATAGTGTCTATCGAGAGGCTGGATTCTCGCAAGGATCGCTGTGGAACCAATTGGACAGAAGGTTCGTGGCATCTTTTCACTCGAGTCCTTCCGAGAAAGAGGTCAGGAGACGTACGTGTGGGACACGCTGAGGAATTACGAGGAAGAGGAGGAGATGGGCGGCGACTTGAGCCGGAGGTAGTCGTACATGACTTCGTTGAAGGGCCCTGAGGCCTTCCTCTGAGTCAGGTAGATGATGTTGTCGCCCTTACGGAGGTCCGCTGCAGGGATGTCGATGTTGTAGAGGGCGTACAGTCCGTGAATGTCGTGCCGAGCGATGGCGTTATCTTTGCCGAATGCAGGCCGTTTGTAGGCCGGCTTCATGGCGCTGTCGATCACCCAGACCTGCATGTGCGAAGCAGTGGTTCTATCTTCCGAATTGGGTCCATAGTAAGGCCATTTATTGCAAGTAGACGAAATTTCGTTCTATTTCTCGAAGTGGGTCCATAATCAGGCCGTGTACTGAAGGTAGACGAAAGCTGGTTGAGAAGGACGTGACCTGTTCAAACAGAGAAATCCAGAGTAGAGGGAAACATATTTGCCAACCTGGAAAGCTGCTATCTCTGCCTGAGCAATGGCCACGCGGAGCTTGTATGCACCCTGGCTTGCATCGAAAGTCATTGATCTTGATCTGCCACGTTGCTGCCACCCACGTACCATCGGATGCATGCCTTTCAAAATGCAGCATAATATCATCCCGAGCTTTTCGATTAGCTCTTGGTGTAGGTTCTCTCAGATTAATGTCGGTTATCAGCAAACGTATGAGCAGGTAACCACTCCATAATTCCAGATGTAAGTTTGAAAGTGGATCAAACGTGGTGTGGGAACGGTATCACGAAGGAAGAATGTACTTACGCAAATTCAACAATTGATCCAAATAATCCCCACCTGCATTGATGAGCAAAGAACCAATCTTGGGTGTAATCACTTGTTCGTACAGAGGAGATCAAATCCTGAGACGGATATAGATCGGTTAATCTTTGCCAGAGTCCATAACTGCGCCATCTATATAGATTACAGAGAGGTCGTAAGCTTTTGTTCTCGATCTTGGAAGGGAGCCATTTGACAGGCAAGTGCATCAGAAGCAACCGAAATTCGAAACTCGAATTTAACTATGCTTTTAGATTTTTTCAACGATTCTCTGCCCATCTTAGAACTCTCTGCTTTTCCTTGCTGGACTAGAACATTAACTTTTTGTACAGCTGATGTCAAGTCGAGAACACGGACAGAAACTCAGATTCAACGTTACTCCTGCCCATCATCAATCTCCAGAAGGCCTATCTACTACCACAGGACATAAGTCTACACCTTCAAGTCTTATATTTGCCTCGGTATCAGTTGGAATGAACTCCCCCACAACTGAAGAAGTTAATTTCGCTTTCTCGAATGTACACTTTAGAGGAATTAGACAATAAACTTTTTTGATGGACAGTCGAGACATACACCCATCTCCAGACTGTCGCAATCTACACAGACACGAACGATTGTACATGCTTCGATGAGATTCTCTTACCTTTGATGGCTGGATGGTCTGAAAGCCTCTCACGTATTCTGATTCGATATGAACGGTTTTCTATTTCACCCTTTCACCTTACTTTAAAGTTACACGGCAGAAGAAGGAACTAGGAAAAATACAAAATGGAAACCTCTTGAGGTTAGTTGTTGAGATACCATTCGCAAAATGACTCACATATAGATGGATGGATAAGACAGATGGACTCAACAAAAGAAGCGATATATTTCCGTAGTGGGAGTTCCGAGTTCGTTTCCACGTTTCGACAGCAGATCTAGACGAGGTGACACGAGTATCGTATGAACTTGTAGATGGCACATATTTCATTTTGAATGTGCAACAGTATAAGAATTACAATCTTACACCGATGAAGCCCCTCGTACGCCAGTATATCAAGATGCGCATTGGACTGGGTAATAGTTGGCCATGTATCACCCGGGAAAAGTTCAGACTACACTCATCTGATGTATAGATATGAGTTTCTTCCTCTACCATTTCCAGCATATTAGTTCTAACCCCTGGCATCTGATTTATCCTGCACAGGGAATATCATTTTGAATGTTCACTGTTGAAAGCATACAGTCCTGAATGGATCTCAAGAATGAGCACTTTTAGTTTGGACATCCACTTCGTGAGAGTGGTGCTCAGTCTCTTACTCTGTTACGTAATGTCCATAGATAATGTGCATTAGTCTTGCAATTGGGCAGAGTATTTTGCATATTTAATTCTTGCCGTTTTCAGAAACAACGTGTTCAAATGTCAATAGTATTGTGAGGAAGAGATTAGCAGATAAACTCGTCACATCATTTCTACCGTTCCCAGATGGATTCAGAACTCCATGTGTCTTGCATGAATGGAGTACCTCCAGTAGTATAGATTTCTGTAGACAGCTCATTCTTAACCATGCTGAAGATACGTTTCCAAGACTACAACATACTTTTGTGATTATTGAATTACTACTGATAACTACAGTTGTGGCTTTCTCAGCTGTACTAGTCGCCTGTATAATGCAGATACAGGCGAATCTCCTGAAGCCTCACTCAACGGGAGGCAATTAGAGCTGTCTGAAAACGTACGTGCGAAACGCGCTCTTGAAAGCTTAAGCTTTCCAAAACTTCACCTTTTCTTTCATCCCGCTAAGCTTTGCGTATTATAGCATTGGTTCCGTATGGGATTTCTTAGAAATTTTAATGTCCAGCATGCATGGTACCTGAAATAATAATGGACGTATAATCGGATTGTTGAGCACCTGTTGGCCATCGTGTACACATTTCATATCCATGCCACAACTGTCGAAACGCCGTCCAACTAATATCTGCGTACAGCTGACTCCAACCACGATTATGAACGAAGAACAAACATGAATAAACACACTTATCGGAGATTAAGTCTCACTATCTCCACCAGAAGGGGATCTTTGATACCACTATAGTACCATTGTGTTCAGAGCTTTCCATACTATCACATTTGACAATAGATGAATGATTTACTATTATAAATTTTAGTGTTAAAGGTTGTGAGGTTCGATAAATACTTTCCATTTCTTTCTCAACCATTTCATAAGAGTAAATATACAATATTACACTTAATGCTGAAACGGTCTATGATTATGAACTGGACGAAAGTAACTAATCATAGAAAGTCAATAAAATTTCATATTCTTTTTCAATCTCCGTTAAATTTTGAAAATAATAATTATAAAATTTCATCATGAAAATAACAAATCATATGATATATATTTATGTTCACTGTGTATATAACAATAGAATAATATTCATTCTTGAAATCATCATGAAAATTATAAATTTATTGAAAATTATTTTTATTATGACTAATAACCACTAACGATAATCAATGATTTTTTGCATTCGAAAATGATTATGTTCATATATATAATCTTTGAATAATAAATCACTAATGACAATAATGATTTCTCTGTAATAAAAAAATGATTTTATATAAATATATATGCAATCTTTAAATAATAAACCATTAATTATAATCAACGAATTCTGTGTAATAGAAAATGATTGTGTTCTTATATATATCTTAAATGTCTTAAAACTAAACCGCAAAAATTAACATTCTAACAATACAGGTAGAGTAATTCTAACATCTATAACAGTGATGCTTCGAGAACATTTTAAAGGTTTCAATGAGCTCTATCACGTTATATTTTATACAAAGTGTACTGCTCGTTAGCTTTCTTGCATAGATAAAAAATTGGTTTCAACTGATTCGAATTTTATTGCGACAAAATTCATTACCTTGCTTGTCATTTCTACACATGTCTGTCCGATAAAAACTTCCAGATTGTACCAATCCTGTGTTACGTGAACCTAGTCAGTTCGGCAGTTCTCTACGCCATCTATTGCGTTGATTGATCGAACAAAACAACCTCTATACAAATCGGCCCCGATAGCTACTCTCAAAATCCTCGATTTTTCAGGTGCACATCCAAATTAACTAGATCACTGGACGAGATCCAGCTCCCAAGAGCTGAATTAGGTTCTAGGAGCTTCGATCGAGCTGTCAGCAGCTGGATCGCATTTTAGAATCTTGTAACCTGCTTGCACTAAAAGCCTCAAGCTCCTCCTCCTCCACAGTTTCCTCCTCCCCCTCTGGTTATATACGGATATCTAACCTTCCCACGGTGTTGATTACCACCATAATTTCCCCACCTCCTACTCTGCACGCACAGCACCGACGCGAAGGGCCCAAGCATCATGAGGAACATGAAAGCTGATATACTGCCGGAGGAGTAGTTTAGTTTCAATCCAGATAGATATAGACCCGCAACAGAGAGCTACTACTTCTTCTCGAAGGACTGGCCGCTCGGTGCTTTTATCGAGCCTCTCATGAACCGATGAACATATTTTGTGTTTCTTGCTCGCCTGGTGCAGATGTTTAGGATCCGCAATCTTGAAATAGAGAAATCTGCAAATTGAATTGGTATCCCCGTATCGATTTAAGCTAAGCGTCCCAAGTGTCAGAGTTTGGTTCCAGGATACCAAAGAGAACGAGCAGTGGGACTTTATGGGGCAGTGGAGTCCGTGAATTTAAGACCTGCACCAGGTACGATCCCAAGTCTGCTGTGACCTTCGAGGTCCTGATGACCTTGTCGTAAGTGGAGTGGGTGCA